ATTTTTAGAAAAGTGGAAAGCATACCTGAGTTTGTATGGGGTTAAAGTAAGAGAAATTATATATAGATTCAAATAATTCATTTCCAATGGCCTTTACTGGTAATGGGTCAAGAGGTAAAAGATCTAAACTGTTGAATTCCATATTCTTTCATATCTAAAAAAGGAAGGACGTTTACCTGTATGGGCCTTATAAGACTTCGGTAGTATACAATTATGCATAGATAGCGCCACCACAGTGTCATCAACAAGAAAATATTCGCTAGCAACCCGTAATTGGAATACATTGGTCAATTGGTGATCTCTAATTGGGATGGTGAAGATAAGATTCTGCGATTCTCCCATACGCACCTAAAGAAAAGCAGATTACACCCGGATAGAGAACTCTGGGGTAAACGGACAACCTTCTTCTTATTGATAGCAATTCTTTCTTGATGTACTATAAGATTCTCATCAATATTTTCCAGTGTCAACCAAAATGACTGCGCTCCATTTTTGCCAAGCAAGCGATCATTCCATATAAACGCTGGAGTGAGCGTAGCTGACACTTGCATAATAGTGCTGCAAAGCGAGGGTAAATAAAGCGAAGTCTTAAAAGGTTGGTAAACAGTTTATAGGCTTACTAAGTGATAGGTTTGAGCGTAGCGTCCACCTCTACCCGCGGTAACATTCGCATTGTTTGGTAAAGCTTTTCTCCATCGCAACTGAACATGTGTCCTAAAAGCAAAATCAGAGCATCTTCCAGAAAAAAAAAGTTGAAAAAAGATCAAGGAATTAAGATTGCGAAAAAATTCGAAACACACCCAGTTCCTTCGCAGAAAGATCCAGTAACTGGGATTCTGTCAGCTTTCTCCTTTCCACTTTCTCAATCAAAGTTACGCTGAGAAACTCTTCCAGCTGCCTGCAAAAAAGTTTGAGGTAACACATAATTTTTTGCTGGTCCACCATACCTAAGACTGCTCTGCGTTGGCCAAACTCTCTTCTCTATGGATTTAGACATCGTAAGGAAAGCATTCGCAGCTTGCGCCCAGCCTCTGCGTAGTACGACTTCAAAGATAGCTCTACACAGACGGCTGGCATTCTGCTGGACATAGAGCGATTCCGATGACAAAGAGAAGCTGCGCACAAATGTCCGCGAGATGTAACTCTAAAAGTGGATCATAATTATGCGATATTGCCTCTGAATGTGAGTCTTAAAAGCTGAAGAGAGGAACAAATTTGTAGCCAAAATTTACAGAAGAAAAAATTTACTAGAAAAGAGAAGCGAAAATCTTTTTTGGTAAACCTACCTGCAAAAGCACATTGACTTTTCCGGCAACACTTGCTAGTCCTCCGCCTCGCAGAGGTAAAACGCAGCCACAGCTTATAAGTTCTTCAAGATCGAGACACTCTTCTTCTCGAACCTGGAAAATGTTTTATCAACAGTGTTGGGGAGGTGATGAGTATATATGTTGTATTTGCTTT